TTTTGAAAANTAATTTTATTGGATATATTTGAATAGTCATCATGTATACAATGAATAAGACTAATATCAGAGAGAGAAATAATACATAAAAAATAAAGATATTACTTTAGACACGAAGAAAAGAATTTTCTATTTTATTGGCTTTGTTTTTACTGTTTTTCCACATAAAATTGCCAACTCTAAATCCGTAATTTCACCTATATTATGATCATTAAGAAGAGTACGAAGTTGAACATTAATATCTTCAGTTATTTGTTTTTTCTACGGAAAACATCACGTGCAAAAGAGAGGGACCAAAGTGAGAAGGGCCCAAATAAGATATGTTTGCAAGGGACCGATATGAGAAAGGACCGATTGGGACCGAATCGAGATGCCCCCGGATTGACTTATATTTGAATTTCAATGAATAATTAAGTTTAATAAATAGAAGCAGATAATGAAGAGGAGTAGAATTCATATATCAAACGAGACGTTGTTGGCGTGCTTTTATCTTCTGCATGACTTGTTGGTGTCTGTTTTCTTCTCTTCTCTTTCATTTCGACTATTTTTTGTTTTCTATAAAGATTTTTTCTTCGTCTTTTCTTCAACTAGTATTGAATATAAATATTTGTAGAACTATATTTAGATCAACTAAGCAATTTTTTGCTTGAATGCAACTCGAAAATTTGTTAATCATTCCGAGGATCCGATTTCTTTCATTGTTTTTCATGAAGAAAATGAAGCATGACTGTTAGGCATCATTCGTTATAGAACGTGTTCGAACAAAGATCATAAAACAGTGAATGTCTTAGCAAACATTTTAAATACTCTATTTTTTCTATGGATAAATATCGATATCATTTTCTTTCATACTCGTTGACACCCGCATCATGAATATTTTTTGAGGAATCTGCTTCTTTTTTTCTCTCTGATTTAAAATGTACGATAAATGGATTGATAACATTAAACGAATAGGAAAATTTTCAATCAGTTTTGACATTCATTTCAGCGATACACAAATAAAATAAAATAATGTATATTCATCCTTGACGCGTTCTAGCTGCTGAAATGTTTTTCATTTCCATTTGTTTATCTATGACTTAGAGATCTTCTGTATACAGTTGTAGTTGCGATATATCTACTATTTATTTTTCTTCTTGGCATTCTATCAAAACTGTATATAGAGAGATTTTATTTCCATTTTAGTTCCGTCAACTTATGAAATACGCTTGTCGAGAATAGACAAATGTTTATTTTCTCTTCTATCATACGAGTCTGTGAGTGTTGTTAGATTATATCTATTTCTAATAAATCAATGCATTTAGGATAAAATTTCTCTAAATGAAACCAAATATAATAATTAATGACAAAGTCATAAATAGTGTCGGAGTTTTATTCAAAGTCTTTCTAGTAGCTGATCAAGAAAAAGAACGCTATTTCGAGTTTCTTTTTTTAACTGGTTTTCCTATCATGATTTTACGTGTAAATCAATTTTGAACTAAAATATGTATTTGTTGTCATAGAACTGGATGAACTAGTCGAGAAATCAAACCATCTATCGTATCAAGAAAAATAAAAGCATAAAGTAAGTGTCATTTTAATTAGACATCAGTTGTGTGGCTGTCAAAGATAAACAAAGTGTGTTCAAGAAATAATTGATTTCCTTCGTTGCTTTTTTGGCAATATAATCTTTAATGGAGTCAACTCAGAACGTTCAAAATAAACATCAATAACTGACAATTATGTTTGGATTTTTTCCATAGAAAATACTTTCAAATTAGCTCGTTGCACCCTGTCTGCAATGAACGTTTCATGAGAGATTAGCACGATAAAAACGGCTATCATTTAAGCGATCAGTAGAATAAGTAAAATGATCGGTAAGCAAAATAAATATAAAATCAGTAAAATACTTGAATGATCAGTACATTATTTGTGTGATCAGTTATTAATATACTTCGATTTATTGATATATTTAAAAATCAGTATATAAATTGAAATGTGTTATAAGGTGATTTACTTTTTTTTTCATTTTTATCCTTTTGGTCTATATATCGGACATGTGATAAGTATAACATATATAAATGTATTCTTAGCTTCTTTCTTTCGTTCACATTCAGCTTAGTACAAGTTGTTTAATGTGAAAGTGATATATCAGACAAAGAGGTCCCGGAAGGAAATGATGGAATAAATGGCAATCAAAGAATTCCAAAAAAGGGCGTGGGTAGTGTAGATGAGCAGAAGAATCACACCCACACCCAAATTTCTATGTTTTACTGATCAATTTTATCCTTTTTTACTGGTAATTATATATAATAAACCGATCACTTTAAGATTAATTACTGATCATTCATATTCTTTTTTACTGATCAAATATAATGTTCTCGATAAAAACTAAACAATTAGATAATCTCATTTCCTTTGTAATCATCTGATCTTTATATAGGATCACAAAATTGTTTATTACTCGATACACTCGAGATACTTGCATATGATTATCTATATAATTGATTACTCTATATGTGAAGCTAAGGGAACTTATTTTTCGTTACATATCAATTTCTCAATGTTTAAAGTATTTAAATTAATTGATTTTTTCCCCAGTGATTTCAAGTAAGAATATTTCTATATTTTTCTTCACAGAGATTACATAAGTCGGAATGGATAGTAATACCAAAGCTCAACAAAATCTACTGTTTTAAAATTTATATTTTCTAGACATTAGCCTCTTGGTTAAAAGATCTCATTAGAGAATTAATTATTAATTTTATACATGGAATCAAATTGAGAATTTATAAAGATCATTATCTAATTACTAATAAGATTATGTTAAAAGAAGAATAAATTACGATGAGACTCTACTCTAGTTTAGAAGTAAACACATGAATTCATCGACAGAAACTATTGATATTAAATATCGGGGTATCTGAGTAAAAGACGTTTAGGTTGTTGACAATTATATTCCATATAATTCTATCTACAATACTGTACGAGGTAGAATCGCGAACGAATAGATTTATGTCATCGGACACTAAAATTGTAGTGATCGATCATTCTATAGAAGAACTAGAAAATGTTAGTTGGTTGATAGTCGAACTAAATAGGTTTCTTTCATTGGAACTAATTTTTATTGTGTCCTATAAAGAAAAAAGATGTATATGAATGCATCGGTTCGTAGAATATTCTATTGAAAAATTGAAGACGACATTTTTTTTCTTTATAAATGATTGGATAGTATCTCGCAAATACACTGGGGATGCATGCATCTTCAATTTATTCAATGGGATTCATAAAGAAACATGATTAATTTTCCACATGTATTATTTTTCCACATGTATTATTTTTCCTAAGAGACAACTTAATATTGAGTAGACAACAAGCCTCTAAACGTTATTCTCATTTCCTCACCATTACAAAACGGTTTATTTTGCAGGTAAAACATTTAAAATAGAATCTCTCGGAAGCTCATTTCTAAATGAGCTTCCGAGAGTTTGTCGTATTTTCTATACCTAAGATAGATTTGATGCGTTAAGAGAATGGAAATATTTAAAACACTTTATTACATGAAATATTGACTTGTTTGTCAAGAGAAACACATCATCTGAAAAATTGAAAATTCCCTGTAGAAATAGTTTCGCAAACGTTTAACAGAAACTCTTCTCGATTAACTAATTATTCTTTATCCAGCCCTATTCCAAGATCCTAAAAGAAAAAAAAAGACTTTTGATTTATTTGTCGATCTCCAGCAGTGCATATTAATAGCTTTTATTTGTAAGAAAAATTGCCTGGTGTTTATCTAGAACTGATACGAAGAATATTAATAGAAGCTATCCTTGACTCTCATGCTTCTCTTTCTTTTCTTTCCCTCGTATTTCACAATAAAGCTATAGATTTCTGAAGCATGATTAGTTATGTCTGGTGATAAAAATATAGTCCATCTTGACAGATCTTGTTTTTCTCGTGTTAGCATTTCCTGCTTATTTCCACCTTAAAGATATTTTCATACTTATTCATCGCGCACAAAATAAAATCCACATGTGAGATTGCCCACTGCTGCTTTTTGTCTTCTATCTATAATAAATTTTGCAACCATAAACTTTTACTTTTAGTTAAGGATCAATTCAAACGCTCATTGTTTACTTTCAAGACTTAAGATCAGAAAAAATTCGACGCTTTGCTTTTTGTTTCGAACGATTAAAAGAGGGAAGACACTTTTGTTTTCTTTCCAAATCTGAATTCAGACTTTTTTTTCTGGGACTCGTGGATGAAGAACGTAATCATATCACCTTGTTGTTTGAGGGTTTTTAAGCGGCTCTTTCAATATTGCTTCCGTTTGCCGTATTGAATCATATTTATATTATTGTTTTTTTTTCGTATCAGCATCTGGGTTTAGGCGCCCCTTCTACCCATTGAAGACTGAATGTCATTGTTGTTATTCATCCTATCGATAAATTGTGTTGTATAGCGATTAGATATTGCACCTGTTCTCAATAGGCGATCCTTGGAGCGACAAAATCTAATGACTATTTTCCGGACAGATCGTATGGTATTATACAGATCTAGAAATCACAACGTTGCAAATATTTTATCGAGCAGCGCTGCATAACTCAGATTGTTGATTCGCACTTGATTGATATTTTCGGATTAGCACATTCTCCTGTAGAGAGATACTTGGTTTTTGTATTAACTCATAAGAATATGTTTTTGCTGCAATTTCTGAATGTTTGATAGTATCATCAAATCTATATAAGATTTATTTTCAAATGTTTGCCTTTAAATTCGACAATTATTCTGTATCTAGATTCGGCAAGAGTAGATCATCGTCTTTCTAGCTAAAAGTTTGCAAAATTCCTCGTAATCTATTTGAAAAATGTCAGCCTATCTGTAAATAATTTCAGTTGATGCCTTTTTTTTATATCGATTACCATATATTCTCTTATTCCTCTTGATACAATAGTTATTTTGATGATGTCAATCCATATAAGTAAATAAGAATCATGTTATTATACTCGTATTTAGATAATATGGCAGCATCAATAGGCAATACTTCTTTAGTGCCATTACTAGCAGAGAATTATACTCAACTAGAAATTCAAAAATTTGCAATAAAATTGAAATTTATTTTTTTGTTCGTTCAAGCATTCATTTGTTTATTTGGTCTATTTGGAAATGTACTTGCATTAATCGTTATCAATAAAAAATCGTTAAGAAATACGTCATCATCTGTATTTATAACTTACATGGCCATATTCGATAGTGCGGTTCTTTTTTTACATGCTGCAAATTTATTGAGACCACGTCGGCAACTCTTCATACATTGTTCATTAATATATCTTACGGATGTGTTTACTTTTTGTGCGAATTGGGTTTTAGTTATTATAACTTTAGGTAAGTTAGAATGATTATAAAGCTATTTTGTCTCTAAACTAATTGATGTGCGTCCGGCGTGTCTTTCAATGTATTTTGTTTTTGAATAATTCGACGCGTATCATCAATTGTATTCTTTTGTATGGTATTAAAACTGATAAAAATATGAATCTAGCAGTTATATTTTGAACTTAAACTTTCTAGTCTATGTTTACTTAGTAAAAGTCAATTAACATCTGTATTTAATTTGCTACTCATAAAAGAGATAATGCAATAATAACATGATATAGAGAAGAAAACAAGTTTGTCTTGATGATGAAGCTTATCAATGCATGATAAAGAAAAACAAAAGGTTATTATTGATGAAAATCAACTATTCGTGTGCCGAAAATATGTGATTGCGATGACATTGTAATGATTATGATCTTCGGAAGTAAAGAATTCTATTTATATTAATGAGCCTCAATTAAAACATAGCTATTTTTAGAAAACAGAATTTACCATATCACGATTTCTTCCATTTTAAGTGCATATATTTTTTTGTTATTTGAATAAGAATAAACCAACTATTCTTCTATATATATATATACGTAATATTCTTCATAAAGTTGCAACGAATTCATAGCATATTTTTATGAAACACGATCTAAGAGGAATCTTGACGTATATAGGGTAGAAATTTGACCTCCCACAGGCCGTGAAAGAGAAGCTCCATATATAATTTCAGGCAGTGGCTGAAAAGCTGCAATGACTCGCAGGCCATGTTAGACCAGTTCCAAAAAAGGAGTTTCATCGTGTTTCACATTCACACAGCAATTGCGCTAACATTTTTGTTTTTAATAATGAATATTATCAATAATCTGCTATTCAATTCTTTTTTCGATTAAGACTCCACTTAAATAATTGAAACTTTACTATAGCTACTCATCTTCTTTATGTGCTAAAAAGTAATATCTTTGAAAATAATAAGTAAACACATTCCATGAAAATATCGCATACATTTGATATAAGATATTTTTGATTCAGCGAACTGATCTATTAAAATAACGTAGGAACTAAGATTTTGAATAACTTTCTTTTGCTGTAGATTTTTCTTCTTTTAGCAACTATGAATAGATATCCGCGAAATGAATCAATTATCATTTAGCCTATAGATAGTATTTTAAATTTGGACATGGCTATATGCACTCAGAAGATAGAATCAATTTATTAAGAAATTTCAAGTTACTCTCAGCCTTGAATACTCTTTATTATTAATATAAATTCAATATTTTAAGTTTTTATGAATTTTACCCGCTAAATTGTTTCTTAAGATTAAGAAAAGTATGAGTCAGGTGCTGCGCAACTAAACTAATATGGAACAGAAAAGCAAATCATCCCAATAAAGATTAACTAATGTAGAAGTATTACTAGGCATCGCACTGTGACTCTTGAAAAACAATGTATGCTGTTTTATTATTGTTAGAATATTTAACGAAAGTTGCATTTTATCAACTTTCTCTTAAGTACATCTTCCTTCCGTCGGTTAACCATGAAAGACAAGATTTTTTTCGTGATTAATTCGATTGCAAAGTGGAATATCGAAATGTATAGAAGATAATTAACGTTCGACGTCGAGATATGTAGTCTATTAAGATACGCTAATTAATACTCGCTGCAAAATTTCCTTTAGCGCTTTTTATTGACAATGAAAAATCAAATGTACACATTCAATAGCCTCACTTATAATGAGAAATAAACTATTATAGGACTAAATAACTGTAGCACTGCCATACTCGAATCCATGTGTTTCATTCATACAACTATCAATATATGTTTATACTAGCATGTTAGTTTTGACACTTGTGTTAATGCTCAACAGTCGATAGTAGGAGTGGCACCTTAATTTTATTTTAAAAGTTAAAGTTAAAGCAGAACACTTTACCAATTTAACTTTAACAAATCCGAGTTAAGGTGAAAAATAATGTTTTCGCTCTTCATGATTAATTCTCTATTGGTTTTAACTGCAAATTTAACTTTAATTTTAACATCAAAATTGAAGTGCCACTCCTAGTCAATAATCAGATCGTTGTTGTTCTTCAAAATAAATGCGGTAAGATAAAGATTTTCCCTCGCAAAGTAATTCAACAATATTTTGCTCATTTTGAAAATTACTTAAAACTTATTTTCACGATACTTATCAACAATTATGCGGCGAGGATAGAATGTATGTGGGTGAGATTATTCTGGACGACTTTCAATCACTATTGTTCTCCAAGCAAAACTTTTCACGTGACAATTCTATTCAATACGTTTGATATAATACAATATAATTATAGTCTTAGAAGCATAAGAAGATAACGGATACTGTTTCAAAAATACTTGGATTTTATTCGTATTGGGCGTTTTTCCTACGTTCGTTTGGTTGTGCCGCACCTGACTCGTACTTTTCTTGATATTAAGGAACAATTTATCAGGCAAAATTCATAAAAATAAAAAATATTGAATTTATATTAATAATAATGAGTATGCAAGGTTAATAGTACCTTGAAATTGCTTTATAAATTGATTCTGTCTTCTGAGTGCATGCATATAGCCACTTTCTTTAAATTTCATCTTTACTTTAGAACGTTGTACTGCTGTTGCGTCTCCATTATTAGCCAAACGCTTTTGTAGCGTTAATTCAGCACGTTATTCTGTATATATTCTTGTAACAATAGCAATCATATCTTTTTCTACGGCATTTCCAATAGTATATAATATACGCGGAGATCCAATTAAGAAAAAATGTACTATACGAAAAGATTTTCAGTTGGCTCTACGAATCGTTCAACCAATTATTATGTTAGGCATACCAGATATTCTACTTCTATCCAATTTTTTTACCGTTTATTCATTAATTCGTCGGCGCTTACAACATTCATCCAATGATGAAAAATTACAGATGCGTGTAAGTGATGTTAATTCAAATCGTAAACAGCAACAGTTAACTATTATGCTTGTAACAGTCAACCTTGCTTTTTATCTTTTTACAACACCGGCTATGATTATTTATATATTGGAAATAACACCACCAAATCATCGAATATTATATAAACTTAAACGTTCCCATATAATATCGAATATGTCTGTTGTATTATTACAATTAAATAATGCGGTAAATTCAAACAGATGATAAAATTATGATTTCGTTTTTTGCTTTTTGTTTAGACAAATTTTATATTTTATTGTTTATCTGGTCAAAGATTTCGTCGAGGAACAGTCGAAACATTTAATAATGGATCAGTTAAATTGAAATTTTTCTATTATCGATATATTCTATGCGATAAGCAATATAGACTACCAATCGATCGGCAATCTATAAGTCTATCCTATTCGACAACAGCGATTCGTGCTTCATTTCCAACAGCACATATACACACTGTAAAAAGAAAATTCACCATGTAGTATTTATTCTTTCTTTCTCGAGGAAAATGAACTCTCATAGTAGTTAACAGCCGGCAGAGAGACTTTAAATATTAAATAATAAATTCAATTATTATAATTTAGAGCTCGATTAGAGATCATTGTACTTTGTTTTTTTCGAATTGTATTTCATTGGATTCAATATAATACTATGGATTTCAAATGAAAATTAATTATCTGTCTGAGAAATAACCTCTTGTCTCAAGACACAATGTTAGATTAACCATGGTTTTATTTCAAACTTTAAGCTTCTCGGTAGATTTGAAAGCTAAAAAAATAGTTAGCCTATTATAAAAAGAATATCACTATTTATCATGTCTCAATAGCTTGACATCCTCGTAGGATTATTACTAGCACAGAATTCCTATGATCATTTTCTTAGATTTCCAATTGCGCACGAACTAGTCCCAGCTGATTCGGCATATTACCGATCAAATAAATCAAGACAGACAACTATCAGTGATCATTACTTGGCGAATGACCCTGACATTTGTAAACAGGATCATCTTCTTCGTAAGTTATTTACCCTTAGAACTGCTTAAATGGCGAAATTTCATGTCTTAGCTTGACTAGAGAAAAGCCTACTCAAGTGGAATCATTTTACTCTCCTGCACTTTTGAAATATCTTGATGTTTGCACAGATCAAAAATAAAAAACGAACTTCGTCTAGAGTAAAACGAGACTTGAAGAAATAAAGAAAATGATTTGAATATCTATGACTTTGTTGAGTTCATCGCGATTCATTGTAGTATGTGTCACATATAAATTTTTAAAAATCAAAAGTATTCATTGCAGTTTGACTCTGAAATTTTGTAAATTATAGAGCAACGTAAAACTTCCCATCGCTACTTATAATAATATGAATCAAAATTACTCTTGTTAAAGACGAAATAAATTTTACATGGCTACAAAATGTTATCTTTAACACAAAGAATCTTATTTGTATGTAAAATATTATTTAAGCTGTCATCGAAAAAAAAACATTCGAAAATCTATCGAAAGGCAAATAAAGTATTTATCATTCAACACATGTGTGGCAACATAAATCATATTTATATCAGTGTAAACGATAATATAATGACTGCTATTAAGTAACTATAATCAAAAATGATTGTATTATCACATCGTTTTCTCGTGCTAACTATTTCTTGACCCGAAAATAACTGTAATATCAACTTTACTAATGATATGAATATTGTTCTGTCATTATATTGACCGTAAGAGTAAGCAATGTAAATGAAAAATGTTCTGTGATTGATTGATTCAATTACATATACACATTCTTATGAACATATCAAAATTGAATTTAAGGTCGACGGACCGATTTCTTCGCAAAGTCTCATCTACTAAAGAATGTTAATATCAGACATTGAATAAGCACATGCATCTGTTTGTATATGTAAACAGTGACTCCCAAGATGATTCGACAAGGTTTTGTTTCTCGTTCACATAACGTCGAGAATCATATTTCCAAAAAGAATAACATCTATGAAAAGTCGAAAAGCTGACAGTTACAATATCACGATAGTTGCAAAATAGATATTTGCTTGAATTATCCAAACTGATAGAGTAAACAATGAATGCGTCGTTCTACTCTCTACGAAATGCTTTGATTGAGACTTATCACTCATCTCGATGACACAAAAATGTCTATAAACATTATTGTCATATCTTCTGTCAGATTTATGTCTGGGTCAAAACAAAAGACCCGTTCGAAATTAGAAGATTTTACATTGCTTTTTCAGTGTACAGAAACATCTTAATAAATAGACTTATGATTATATTTCTTTTTCTTCTTGTTCTTGTTCTATCATTGTTTATCTCTCAAGATCTTTATGTAGAACGATGAAGTCAAGTATATGGATATGTACAATTCAAATAGCATTGGATGCCATCATCAATGCTGTTATTGGCGCTTGGTTTCTTTTCTCTTGTTTAACGCACTTCAGATATCATTAGATAAAATAATATATCAGCATACTGAACTTTGCATTTTAACACCTATTAATATCAAGGCTAAATATAGATATATTATGCGCTATCCACCGTCATTTGCATGTATATACAAAATAAGAAACTAAATAAAAATTATTTAATTGAATGCAGCATAATAGTAAATTATGTTTTATCAATTCGATAAAAATTCAGAAAACATAACATTGAAGATGTTCATTTCGATTGACGTAAAGTTTCGATCTTTGATAAGATCATCATCAGACGTTTTATTGTCGATTTAATATCAATATCAATGTAATTGCCAATGGCAGTGATATTTGAGATTATAATTTGTCGAATAGCTGCTCATAGTAAAAATGATTAACTTGAGATGATGTAAAAAATTTTAACAAAATAAGAAACTAAATCTTATGTTTTCTGAATTTTTATCGAATTGATAAAACATAATTTACTGTTATGCTGCATTCAATTAAATAATTTTTATTTAGTTTCTTATTTTGTTAAATTTTTTTACATCGTCTCAAGTTAATCATGCATATATATATATGTTGCTCGCCAGGCGTTAGTTTATGATGTTGATGAAAGAAAAAAAGTGTCCTCGATCAACTGCGTATTTCTCAGTTCATACATATGTAAGGATTATCCATATTATCAGTTACTTCGTTAAGCAACAGAGTGATAAAAGAAATTGCTAATTCAATTCCGCAGTATCTTCTATGCAGCCTTCAAATAAAGCTTATCTTAAGTGTTTATCTGCATCAAGCATGTGTTGGTCATCTCATTAGTATCGAAAGACGTAAAACAAGAGAAGCTCACTCATTTATACAGCTAGACAATACAAACACACAGAAGAAATTACACGTATGTATACATGCCATGAACTGATTTGTAAATGGGTCAAACAAGTAGGAATAATCCTATAATTAGTTCTCATAGCCTATATAGATATTTGTATTTGTTTGCTTCTATTCATTTTGTAGGTTACGTGTATAAAATTAGGTGTAAGCGTTATTTTATATGTTTACATAGTAATCGATCAACCGTCATCACGTCTAGTACAATATGTCTGCTGGCTTGGCAGCAATTGAACAACAAAAGGTGGAAATAAGTGATTCGATTAGTATTTCGTCCGTTCGCATATATTTTCCTTGTGTGTCAGCAGTTTATGTAAATTATCTGATGCCCTGCCCAGTTTGTTCTTTTTTTCTCCTGTTTTTTTCTCTCTTTCTGCTATGCGCAAAGCAAGAAGAGAAAGAGAGAATGGCGATCATCACATCGTATTTATGTGTGACTAGAGAGGTTTGTACGAGAGCATACTTGAGTTTTTTTTTCTGCCGACAAGTCTCCATTGTTCGTTCTCTTTCATCATTATCGCTTTCTTATAGTCCTTTTTTCTGTTGCATGTTTAACATGTAAAAGAACTGATCTTATCATTTTGCATGCAATGCTGATTGGTCATTGGTAATACCAAGTTAGAGTATGTTCTTTTTATTTAGTCATTTATTTTTTATTGATCGGGAAAGAGAATTTATTCCTAATTGACTAAGAATTGATCATGAAATGCATTTGTTTTAAGTTTTTATCTGATGATGACTAGTGAGTGTTCGACATAGGCGGTTCGTATTGCAAAAATATAACATATGTATATATTTTAATAGATATCGATTGAACTAGTAGTGCTTTTCACTGGTAAATCTTTGTTTCTTTAAGTATGAAAAAAGAGTCGGTCATTTATTATTTTACTGTCAGGTAACTAAACTGGTGTATAGACGAAGCCTACTTATGAATAAGATGCATCGTCAAATAACATTCTTTTATATATATATATATATAATTATATATATATAGTGACCTCTCATTTTTCTTGATATATGCATATGTTGAAGATGATGGGGCTTGAGGGCGAAAATATGTACCCAAGCATTCTTTTCGTTTATATTTACGTCATTATATTGCTTCTCGATGATTAGTGATGGTTGATCGTCGCTCGTTCGGGGACACGCTTCTTCTTCTTCGTCTTGTAACATACATATATATATATATATATATGTATGTATATATGCATAGATCATGACCAATTTGAATGATCTCTACATACAGAGACATATATATAAGATGTGCGTAAGTATTGTTTTTCTACTGCTGTCTATATTATAGCACATATTGTCTCATCTTTTGACACACATAGCCTATACTTTTCTTTTTGACACTATTATTATATTCATTGCGCCTTTTTGTCAAGTAGTCGTTTTCTTATACGACAAAGTGTTGAATTTATGTATATGACGATAAGAACAATTCGTTGGCATTCGGTTTTTTCTTTTCTAGTTCGATTTTTCTCAGGGACATTCTATGAACAAAAAAAAGGAGAAAGAAACCCAACAAGTGCTCGAAATTCTAAACAACATATGTTTAATCCTCTTATAAATTCTATCATAGTTCATTGTCACATTTATTAATTTATTCAGTTACTCAAGGTTTATTATTTACTAAAATGTCACTTTCTATCAATTGCGCTGGTAATTCACTATATACATGTCTGTAGACGGCGAGACAAACCTCATTTATAAATATATATATCTATATCTATTATGATCATTACGGTATCGATTGGTAAATTATCTTCGATTGTTTAAATGATACGGATATTAAAGAAAAGCCTATAATAAAAAACTGATGGTATGTGTTCTGCTTCTCATTATTATTATTATTAATTCCCATGGACTTCTCCTTGTGTCTATTAGCTGATAATGATTTTGACGACTGTTAACCTTTGGAACGTCCAAATATTTACTGAAAAGTTTATCTTCTGTTCCTGGGATATTTCTCAAAATTACATTAACACATCTTTTTCACTGTCTATATGAGAGATCATATCGATCAACACCCATGGTTGCATTTTTATAATCGACCTTGAGCGAAGGTTGCCGCCTGACGTGCATGTTCCTCTTTATTTTCTCTCCGCACTTCATGTTGATCTAGTAGAAACAAAGAATTCTTACATCATATGATAATCGTTCAATAAGATTCAGGTTGATCGATCTATTAATCTTATTTTCTAATAACTTGCATTCATGTTCACTGGGAGTTCTATTTGAAGACGATGACATCACCACCGATGTGAATACCATAGAAATTCATGTGCACTTTTCTTTTTATTCTTTTCCCCGGTTTTATTTTATTTTTTGTTGTAGATGATGGTATATGTATGTCCTCGAATAATACGTTCGTAACACCATCAGTTTTTTCTTCAAATTCAAACAATAACAACAACGAATAAGAAGAAGACGACGAAGAGAAGGAGAAGGAAAATTACAACTTCATTCGAAGTCAATATTTATTATCAATGATTTCGTCAAATAATTTACCCATATCAAATCGTATGTTACAGAAACAGAATTCATTGCTTCTTTTAAATCAAGAAGCTAGAAAATTCGATTTTGATGATAAACTTCTCCTACCGAATTCAACCCGTTCACTCAAGAGACGTACAAGTTTACTCGCGAAGAGTCGAGATTGGGTAAATAAAGGCTGTTTCGTTATTTGTTTTTAGACATAACTTCCTAATAACAGTATGGATATTGTTCGATGTTTTATTTTTTTCTACTAGGCTCGACGTCTTATAACTCTTCATCGACCTCGTCGTAATACATTTTCCAATGAGAAAATTCGTGAAACATGTTCAGCATTCAATAAAAAGTTAGAAGCAAAACCAGATTCTTCACATGAATTCTTACATAATTATCAGAAGAGTTTTGATGAAGATGGATATCTATCCCCAATGGAGATAAAAGCTAAAGTAAGAAATAATTTACATGATTATGTATCTACTTTTTTTTTAATATCTAATGATTCTCTATAGCTTGATAACATCTCTCAAGAGTATACTAATCATCGTCATCATCAATCTGATCCAAAATTACCAACAAATTCTGAACATTATCTTGTTAATTCTAATACTAATACAAATGTAGCTCAACGAGTCTATCGATATCATGATCCAAATATTCAAACATTAGCGTCACATTATATATGTGAAGAACTGAAACCTTTACCAAAAACATCGTTTGCTGCAGAATTTCAAAAGTCTCTTTCAATTTTTGATTATATCGATTTTGATGTGCCGAAAGAATCATCTAAATCAAATGACGATGATGATTCACTCGAAAGTTTAAAATATTTATTCAATGATGATCATAAACAACAACAAAAAAATGTCTCTCGCCGTATTTTACGTCGATCGACAAATGCATCATCGATATCAACCGATTCAGGTTATAGTGATTTACCAATATTATCATCAAAAATTATTCCTGTACATTTAATACCATGTACCTTAGTACCGGTGAATGTAACAACGCCTGATTCAATGAATATTTGTCGTATAGCATGTACGTGTCGGCCACCTCCACCTCCGCCTCCATCAGCATCATCATCGTCAACGTGTTTACTTAATAAATACGAACGAAAACTTTCTTCCCATTCATCTCGTCCTCAGCTATGTCATCAGCCATTGTCAAATATAGATAAAACTGAGAATGGTACTCATCATTCGTGTGCTTGTAATAATAGATATCATTCAGCTATGGCAATCTATCCATCGGTACCTGTACCGTTGACTAAATCAAGTAGATCCGTGGCACAATTTGATGATCATAGAGGAGAATATTATTGTAAACCACGACATGAAGAACAAAAACGACATTTTAAATCGAAACAAACAAGTCTAATGAGGTTTGCTAATGTTTCAGTAAAGTAATAACATCATTTTAAATTCTAAGAGAATTGTTGCTCATTGCTATTTTCTATAAAGAAAGACATTTATTGTAATTTCATACTCCGAGCAAGTTAGTAAATTGATGAGATTCTATGCTTCAAACTAAATATCTATTTCAAGAAAATCCCTTCCGAAAAAATAAAGAAGAAATTGTCTAAACTTTTCAATTCATTTATTGTCTATTTTATAGACTTCCTAATCTCACCGATGACACGACATCTATATCGCGCTGGTATAAGCCATATTTAGAAAGGTAAATAAAATCAGCGTTTGTAAATATACATTTTCTTTTTTTCTCGATTTTGGAAATCATACGAGTTCATATTATTTTCAGAGAAGCAGTATGCGATGCCCTTCAACAAGCTGATTATGGTGGATTCATTCTGCGGAATAGTACAACACATACAGACTGTTATGCACTTTCAATAAAAGTTCCGAAATTTACACACGAATCAAATATAGTTCATTATCTTATTGAAAAAATTATTGTTGATAGCCGCCCGAATTATCGTATCAAAGGAACTATAAAACAATTTCCAACGCTTCTGTCACTTTTAATACACCATTCAGTTATGCCAGAAATTTTACCAATAACACTTAATCTAAATGAATCGTTTACTATTTGATGACAAGAGAACAAAAATAAATATTTATATTCGTACTTTATGTGTAGAAACAGTGAATTCACGTTTTTTTCCTCTGTAATGCTGTGCTTATTTAAATGCTTTTTTTTTAAACAAATGGTTCAAGTATCGAAGCAATTGCTGGATTAAATAAACATCCAGCAACAAATTCTTTTTGTGATATACGTCCATCTTAAACATTTCGATCAAATACTTGTCGTGCAAGTGTTTCGCACATTTATTTTCTATTGCATATACTAATAACCACTTCAAAAAAATAAAATAAAAAGCGACATGTGGGTACTATTTCTTTTTTTTCGTATTTCGAGCCAGAACAAATTAAGATTCGTCATTCATCAAAATTTACTAGACGAAGATTGAGATGACAGAAAATTTTGGTTATTTTTTTAGATATCGGGGTACACACGTACGTCCAGCAATCGTGCATTTAAAACGTGTTCATATTACGTCAAAGAATTTATGTAACGACACAACGGTATGGCGTGTACAAAAGAATGAAGCGCTACCAATGACCACAACAACAGGCACTTTCCGATTGACTTTGTTCTCTTCATAATGTGAATATGATCATAGTATGATACATAGATAATTAGTATTATATAGAAAAGTAGAATGTGGTAAAAAATCAATCATTCTATGCAGATTCGCTGCTTATGTAAATGCTTTTTGTTTGTTGCACACTAATCGAAAGAATTGTGATAACATGAAATTTATTCTATATAAAAAATATGAAAGATTTTGTTAATCTATATACTTACGATGTAATCGCCGATTAAGTAAAGGAAAAGGTATTAGTCTCATCAATAAGCATTCCTAATTGAAACTCGAACGAAAAATAAAACATGATATTATTTAAACGTTGATTTGCTTTGCTTTTTTGATCAAATGTTGAAAAAATTAAATTACAGAGAATATGATATTTGAGATCAGATATTTTTATTCTTCTCAAATATAATTTATTGTAATCTGATTTCTTTTCTTCTATACTAGAAGCTCATAGATGAATTGCGAAGGAAGGAATTTTGAAAAATCAAATATTCAATGAAAATTAGTGTGTTTTTTAAATTACTACCTCACAACCATAGTGTCGTTTGAAAAAGCTTTGTTTTATGCTTATCATGGAAAATAATCGATTTTGACCCGCTGCAATTGTTTTTTTCGTAGCTCTTCTGCCATCACTAACTTGATAAGATATTTTCGTGGAAGAAAAAAAACCTTTTATTAAATAATTTGTTTGGATAAAATTATTCGCATTAAATAGATAAAATAAAGGAAAAACGGGACAAGAGATTATCAACGTATATACATGGAAATTTCCTTTTCGATTAATTGATAGTTGATAGATGATATTGTCGTTCTGTATTAACAGGCTTCTCTAGACTGCCTAATGTAGATTTAAGATGACCGTGATTATCAGATTCATATTCTGAATCACGCCGTAAGCCAGTATTTTGAAGAAATTTCGGATTTGTATTTTTCATTGTTTTCAATGAATGCCATTTATCTGAAATGCGATGACGATGACGGAGAGCAAGAACAAAAGCAATGAAAAGGAATATGGTAAAAAATGATAATGGTATTGCATAATTTAATACATTTCGTAATTGATCATTATTCGGAGCGTGCGTTGAAACAGTCTGAGATCCATCAGGTGATGTTGATATTTTCGTTGTTGTTGAAATGCTATTATTCGTATTCATCGTTCTTTTACATCAAAGAATGCCTTCGTGCTTCAGAGGATAAAGAAAATTTTCATCATATCATGCTCGTGAGTTATCTTTCGTTCTCTTTGCAATGTCATCTTTAGATTTTTTCCTTTTATGGCTCTTAAATTATAGTTACATTTAATATTTATCATCTTATTTGGGTTGACTTCATATCAAAAGATCTTTTTCGTGCATAGTTGTTTTAAATATTTTTGTTTTCTTTTGAATATTTAGTTGTATAAAGTACAACAAAGAAAAAATACGGATAAGGTCTTTACGTGACGAAATTTTGACCTGTTGCTCTTAAAAGTACTGTAGTAGAAAAATGAAAATGTCTTCTACGTTCAGAAGCTAACTGGATGATATGTCAACAAGCCCGACGTACTAATGTCGATTATCTAAGCTATTCGAAATTTAAAAGTAAAATGAATCATCATTCCACCGGTAATAGTCATTTTTGACTGAAATCAATTTTTTCATTGGTTGATGGTGTATGTGGCAATAGATGAAGTGAGGGCACTCTCACACTCATAATTAAAGATCATTGAGAACTTATTCAGTGAGTTCTTTCGCAAAAGTTGAATACTTTTAAAATCTGTATTATATTATTGAAAATTGTGTAAAAAGCACAGAAATTAAAACAACAAGAAACAAGAAAATCCTGATTATAGATTAATTGCGATTGGAGTCGTTTATTTTCGTACATCTTGATTGAAACAATCGTTCATAATCATTGAATAATTGTGGCTCAATATCTAACCCTCTAAAACCAATATATCCTCTAAAGGATGGTGGCACTTCGGAATCTTGGCAACACTGTTGATATTCTTTAATTTTGTTGTCAGAATGTCTGTCATTATTACGAGTCTTTTTATCTAGAAGAAACTGTAGAAAAACAGATGTTCGATTATCGAAACCATGTTTTGTACTCAGATTTCGATAATATTGAAGTAAATTATCTAGATCCCTGCTTGATGGTAAACATAATCGTGTTTTTTGTCTTAAATAACGATCAAAAATTTTTCCTTTCGTATCCATTTGTATCAAAGCTTTTAAAATAACAGGTTTATAATGTTGCTTCATACCATCTCGACCGAAATGTTCGGTAATTTCATCTACGATATCAGCAAACAAATCACCAAGTAAATCGCCTTTCTCCGTAGGTACTCGAATTTCTCGTCTTGCCCATGTTGCAGTATTCCACCAGTTCAGAAGTAGTGTCCATAGGTCATTGTAGATAGTGGCAAAATCAAGTTGATTGTGTGCTACGAACAGACGAGCCAACTCATTAATTCTTGTTTTCATATCGTCGATATCGAGTCTTTTTTCATGGTCCTGATCTCTCAGTCCGCTAAGAAGAAAATTGCAAATGCCGTGAAGTCTGTGAATTTTATTTTCTGGGATTCGAAAATGGGTTTCTAACATAGTTATTATAGTATCCGAGCCATTCATTGTTTAACGCAATTTCAACTCGATAATTTTGAAATACGTATTTTATCACACCTACGATTTGTTTACTCGAAGAACAGTCAATGCTTCGTTCTGAAAATTATTTCTGTTGCGCGTCCGCTATTCGTGTGCCCTTTTTTGATTTATTCAAGCAAAAAAGAGATTGTTACCCTTCGAGTTTTTTTTTCATTAGTAGAATTTGATTCAAACGAATATTTCGACATCGCTGTGTCATTACAGAGAAAAGCAATTTCTTTATCATCCCAAGAAGGAACGAAGAACAACATAAATGTATTTTCTGCTTCTTCAAACGAGCATCTATATAAAGTTGCCACGTTGACGTTGCAAACAGCCATTGTTTTTTCTTCGCTCGCTCAAAGAAGCACACTCGTCCTTCCAAAAAATTTAAAGGTAGTTAAATTTTACTTTTAATAAAGTTTCAATACATTTATCGATCATTGTGTAGCGAATATGGCGCAAGGTGCGGCTCTTGCACAATTATCAACCACACTCAGCATCTTTAACGATTCATTAAATGAGCCGAATAAATTGAATGTCAAAGCGCTGCAAACAATTCAACAGTATTTAAATAATCCAAAAGTAACAACGTTAGATCAAACAGACACAGAACTTATGCAACATACACTAGAATATGTAGAAAAGAAATTGAGAGAATCAATAGTTATTGAACGAGTTTCATCAGTGACAATAAAAAAAATTAATCGTCAACTAGAAAATCTTGCAGAATTAATCCTTGAGAATAGAAAAGAAATAACGGGAGATGCTTATTTCATTATTGTTAAATTAGAAGTATCGTTTCTTGACATATTATCTGATGAACAAGACACTTATGATAAAGATTGGCAAAAAATGTTCGAAAAGAATAAGATGACAAGTGAAATCTTTGAATCATCACCTAAAGCACTTCAACCCTGTGCTTTTTATTTGGATCGACAACAACGTCTTATCAGCGAGTTAATGAACGCAGCAATATTCAATGTTATAGAATATTTTCAACAAAAGGAAGAATCTTTTAATGAATATTTTACACGGAAATTTCTCGACTCACTCAGCGAAAAAGCCAAAAATCTAAATCATGTGTTGAAAGACAACATAAGCAATGATGTGTTCACCATTTTATCGACAACTGCCGGCAAGTGTAAGATACCAATGGCCGATCTTATACATCATTTGAGATATGCGATTACTGGTTTTGAAGAACAGGTGAATGAATTTGCTGATTCACTGCAGGACTATATCGAAGAGACAGAATCACCGACATTGGCAGGATTCAACAAGACACTGCATCCTTCATGGGCTCTCACACAGACAGAAGTGGATCTATTTAGCGGTCTGTTTGATTTGTATTATGAAATACTTTTATATCCTTTCGATGAAATTCCACAGCTTCTGGTATGAATTCTTGCATATTTTTTAACTATCGAAATTTATTGTATGATATTTGTGTTCTGATATTTAGTTTCAGGTTGCCGAAAACATTTCTGATCCTGTATTGGTAACGGTATGCATTTTATTGGTTTAATTAAATTTTCTATTCGCTTACTTGCTATAGGATAGTACAACACCATCAAGAATGATAGACACAGCTGATACTATCGAAATACCCAAAAAATTAAGCAGTGTAGCTGAAAGCACACCCCCTGTAAGTAAAACAGACGAGGAACATTTCTTAGAAAGCTATTCTGAGCTTCGAGTTCCCAAGAAGAGAAGGGAGAACTGACAGTTCTATCTATGATATTGTTTTAAATTGCAGGCATCTATATCTACTGTTTCTGCCACCGGCTCGTCTCCTTCAACTGAAAAGTCAATGCGACCTCTTTTATATGAAACTGACTTGAAACTTATCTGGATTGAAGATGGTCTAGAAAACTATTATGAATTGTACTGTAAAAAAATTGAGCCAGCGTATAGTACATATTGTGCTGCCACAGAAGTCCTATCAAACTTACCAAATGATTGGATAAATAGTCGTATTTTTCTATTCTTAAACGCTAGAAATGCACTCTCATTATTGCCCAGTATTCATGGTAAAGTCGAGCTTTATCGAATTTATGTTCTTTGCAACGACAAATCGGAAGAAAATCAAGTTTTAAGTAATCATATAATATTCGAAAGAAAACTACTTGTAACTAGTGACGAAAAAATATTTATTCAACAATTAGCACTGGACATTCTACCATCATTGATTGAGATCGGTGATCTCTACTTGGAAACAAATGAATATGACAATGCTAGTAGATGGTTTGAATCGGCACGGGAGAAAATAAATGAGTATGACAAGTCCAAGAATAAATTATTGCTTCCATTAGTCGAGAAAAGATTAATGAAATGTTCGAGGTAATAAGACGTTTACGTTCGAACTCTGCGGCCATATCTATATTTTTCTTTTTCTACTTGCACAAATGTTTTTTTTTGTGTGATATACGAAAAGTTGAACACGATCAAGCTGGGTGATAATTGATGTAAATTATTCGAATTTCGAATATTAAAATAAAAAAGCTGTTAGGGCAATCCCTGTGGGATTAAAATGTGAAACAAGATGAAACTCCTTTTCTGGAATATGTCAATCACGGTCGATGATGGCCTGTGAAGCTTGCTTAGGAAAGTTCAACTATGTTTTGATGTAATAAATCTCAATAATCGTTGTACTGAAATGTAAATAAGAAAGTGATTTCTTGCATTTTCAGATTAATTATTTTGCTACCACATGGCCGTACAAATAAAAACGAATACAGTCCGCAATGACGACGTTCTTAATGATCATCTAGAAACGATGTCTAATTTAGAAGGAATAACACTTATTTGGTATGATGCAAATCTGAATGTGAATATACGAAAAAAATTACGAATTACAAGACAACATATCAGATCCATCAACAATTGTGTTATATTTCATAAGGACGAACAAGAGTGTATCAATACAATAAAGTCCATTACAAATGAGAAAATTCTCCTTGTTACATCAGGTTCCAGTGCTGATAGTATTCTATCATTCGACGATACATTTGTTCATAGATCGGTTCAAGCTGTATTTATTTTCTGTCATACGAAAGCAAAATATCAATCTCTACAACGATCCTATCCGAAAATCATTGGTATTTTTGATGATCCAGAACAATTGAAAGCGGCCATTATAGAAGAAGTCGATTCGATTCAAGCACATCTTGAAACATTTAATTTTTATAATAAAAATGAACAAAAATCAATATGTAATCTTTCAAATCGATCGGCAACATTTCTATGGCTTCTAGTATTTAAAGATGTAGTTATTCAGCAGCAGTCAAAAGATAAAAAAGCAAAAAGTGAAATGATTGAAATATGTACAAATTACTATCATGGTAACAAAAATGAGATTAATCGCATTAAAGAGTTTGATCAACAGTATAAACCAGAACATGCCATACGTTGGTATACTCGACCTTCGTTTATCTACAAATTGGTAAATCGAGCCCTGCGAACTGAAGATATCGAACAACTATATATATTTCGATTCTACATAAGTGATCTGTGCGAACAAATCGCTAACATACAAAAACAAAATAATTATCAGCTGCCATTGACGCTCTATCGAGGAGTAAGATTACCATTGGACGAGGTCAAAAAATGGCAAGAAAACGAAGGTAAACTCATTTCGACGAATGGCTTTTTCTCTACAAGTCTTTCGAAAAAAGTAGCCATGGACTTTGCACTAAGAAGAACAGAAACAAACATGGAAGAATCTGTTCTCATTGAAATTGAATGTAATCAATGTCCTACTATGTTTGCCATCATAGAAAAAGAAAGTATCTTCTCCAAAGAAAAAGAAGTTCTGTTCGATCTTGGAGCTACATTTGAAGTTTTGTCTGTAATGAATAGTAGAGACGAAGATGCCAAGATAAATATTTGGACAGTGAAAGTAAGAAGTACACAAGAAGGAAAAGAATTAGCACAGCTATATATTCAACGAAATAAAAGAATGTTTGAGTTAAATGATGTTAGTGAAATAGATAGATGGATAGTTCTTCTCTCTGATATGGGCCAGACTTCTAAATCATTGAAGTTTTTTCGGAAAAAAGGTGGAACTCGTCCTTCAGCTGAACGGTTATATCGGATTTTCGGGACTGTTTGTGGCGCTGTAGATAGGCACGAAGATTACGATGAAGCGCTAAGATATTGGGAGTATATGCGTCAAGTTACCAGCGAGGAAGGTACATATGAGCCTATATTTTATCTATCAAAAGCTAGAATTTATACATTAAAAAGTCAATATGATCAAGCATTATCGGAATTAGCAAATTGGATACAGCCCACTCCAGAATTCTCAGTAGAAAATCATATTCTAAATGCAGCAGTTTACATGCATATTGGCGAGATTTACTGTTTGTCAGGAAAATATGAGCTTGCTTTGGATTATTTCAATAAAGCAAATGAATTTGGTAAAAAATGTTTTCCAGATGATCACATCTTTTTTTCTGGCTATTTCGACGGTTTTGCTAACGTTTATAGAGAAAGAGGAGAGATGCATCGTGCAATCGAATATTATCATAAAGTAGTTGATATGAAAGAAAAATATTATCCCTTACCATCATCTCATACTTTTTATGAAATGGGTCGCGTCTATGAAAGTCTAGGAGACTACAGTAAAAGTTTGGAATACTATCAGCGCGCTGCAGAAATTGCAGAGAAAAAAGGTATTGATGATGCTAAAGAGTTTGCCAACCATTTCGCGGTGATCGGTAGAATTCATCAGGTGAAAGGAGAATTTCAGGAAGCTTTAGACTGCTTTAATGAAGTACTAAAAACAGAACTACAGATTGCAGGTCCAAGTCATGATTTAGTAGCTCAGTTTTATTATAAAAAGGGGATTGTGTTGGAACATTTAAATAGAAACGATGAGGCATTGACGAATTATGAACAAGCTTTAAATATTCAAAAGCAAATATTTTCCGATGGGCATCGAAACATGGCTCGTACTCTGTGTCGTATCGGCAACCAATATCGACACAGAGGTGAACTTACACTAGCTAAAAACTCTTGTGACGAAGCACTTGCTATGCAAGAGAGACTTCTACCATCGAATCATATCGATATTGCTTTTACAATGTCTAGCATAGGAAGAATTCTGTATGATCAGAGAGATCATAATAAAAGTTTAACATATCTATGGAAGGCTCTGAAAATGCAAAAAAACTTTAGTAGTGGAGAACCACATTCCTATCAGATCTCAACGCTAGTCACTCTTGCTGATGTTTACATTAAACTAGATATTCCTAGGCTTGCTCTTCAATGTCTAAACGATGCTTTGTCGATTCAGGTTAACGCTTTCTCACAGCAGTATTCATCATTGTCTGATGAAGAGCTTAGAAACAAAATAAATGAACTAGAGAAACTGATAAAAGCGTAGTCTTTTTTGTATTACCAAGTTTTGTGATTTCAGTAGTTTTATCCGTGTGTATCTTTTTTAATTAATTGTCATTCAAGTTTTCTCTTATGATTTCAATAAAATTTCTATGTTGTATAGTACATTGGTTAGGACATAAAACGTATGTATAATTTGATTGATGATAGTATTTACTTTGATCTCAAATACAAGACATTGACTCGGAAAAGGATTCTCTATAAATTCAGATGAAAACTAGATGGCATTGTTCTCATCACATTTCACTTAAATGGAATCTTGTAAATCCCTCTTCAGCTCCAATCAATATATCCAATTGAGAAATAAAGATAAGAATGGCTTTTCGTTTTCGACAATAAAACATGTTGAAAGTGTCGCTGTGGGAATGCGTACACTGTAAGAAAAAGGTTTATGATACGTTGCACTTTCATAAACCCTTTTTTTTATTAAATACCCTATCAAAAACGATTTTTTCGTTTATTACTCTGCGGATTTTTTTACAGTGCATCCCCACCCCCACCCCATACTCAGTTAATTTTTTTTCTCAAAGAAATGAATATCCTAACCAGCTCCTTGTCAAACAACCAGAACTGGTAAACCTTTGCTTTTCGAAGTATTTGAAGTCAACACCATTTCATTTTCAAACGACTACTAATGGCCATCTTTTATTTTTGAACGATACTCACATGATAACCGATTATTTTCAATACATTTAAAATCATGAAAGAGTCTTTGTCTAAATGATCAAAACTCATGACCAGATCTTTTTGAAAAAATTGAAAGGACCAACGCTTCTTTTTCAGACGAACAGTAATCGTTGACTGTATGCATTTGAAATAGCTGAGTAATGTGACCGATTCTTTTGTTAAAACGTTAGCAATGACTGACACTTTGCCATCATGAAATTGTAACCTGAAACTTCTTGGTTATCGATGAACGAGAGCATCTAATGTGTTATTTTTGAACGAACTGGGTCAAAAGCAAGTGTGGGTGTGGGTGTCGGCGTTGATTTGAACAAAACAAACACCCACTCCCACACCCTATCAGTCTCCCGGATAGAGTTTTAAAAGAATTTAGAACGACAGTTGTTCTCCAAAACAACAAATCACGATGAAAAGATTTTAACAGATGCTACCGAAGTCAATCTAAAAATATCTAGAATGATTTATAAATTTGATCCTGGATAGCTGAATTAGTGGTTTGAATGTTAAATAGAAATTTGCTTTATGATAAAAAATTAACTTTTTGAATAGAAATAAGTTCTTTGACTGTGACAATATTTCAATTTATTTATCATTGAAAGATTGATAATCTCTAAGTTTTTCTATAAATTAAGCGAATCTAATGTTTTTCTAACCCATGAAAGTCTATCATACCCCCAAAATGGTTCATCACGTATAATAAACATTGGTACACCAAATACATGATCTTGCTCAGCTTCTTTTTCTGCATTTAAATAATCTTGTTGACCTTGATTATTAAGATAATTTTGAAAATCTTGAGAAAATTCTTCAAGTGTTTTATCTTTTCTTGATGTTTCATAAAGAAGTTTTATAATTTCATCTATATTTTCAATATTTAATTGACGTTTAAAAAATAATTCAAATGTACGAGAAGCAAACGGATCAAAAAATTGATTTTTATCAGCATATAAGCCAGCAATTAATGACATACTTGAATCAAATATCCGTTGTGGCCCACGGATAATAAGGCCACGTTCATTAGCAAAACGTCGACATTCTGAATAGCCATATCGAATTTTATCCCAATTACGTTTATCTCGTTGTTCCACGGTTCCGCCAAATGTTTCTTCAGCTCGAAATCGCCATGGAATAAAACGTATTTGAACCGGATAGTCTTTTTCTAATTGTAATGCTGGTTCTAATGCTAGATAACTAAATGGCGATTTAAAATCATAATAAAATTTAATTATTTCACGTGTTCGTCCAGTTGAATAGGAACGAATAAATCTGATAGGAAACATTTCTGAATAAGAAATAAAACTAATCGGTTTATTAAACTTGTTATTCTATTCTAACATAGACGAAAAGCCAAATGTTTTATTGCTATTCAATAATAAAATAGAAACGAGTTGATCGTAGCAAAACAGAAATAAACTAAAGTGAAATTACATTTGGTAAAATAAACATAAATACAATCAGCATATTAGTATACCGAAGTGCTACAAAGTTTTATTTTGTTCATATTGCATTATACATAAGACTATGACGATAAATATAAGGACCCTGAAATACCATATTTAGAAAGGTCAAGTTTTCCATGGTTTTTTATTCATTAGGATTCCTACTAAAGGAAAATGCATTATAAGAGTTCTGGTTGTTTTCTTCCAAGTCTAAGGTTAGCAACGATAATTGGCTTTATGCACTATCACCCTTACTTAAGAATTTTTTCCTTCTTAAACGGTGTTATATAACTGAAAACGATGAGCTGTTTTTTAATAGCTAAATAGTCGATATCAATGAAAAATAAAAATCATTGAATTGCAAAGAGGAGAAGAATTAGTTGTTTTGTAACTTAAGTGAATCTAATTTGTTCTTAATCCAAGAAATTCTATCATGTCCCCAAAATAGTTCATCACGTATAATAAACATTGGTACATCAAATACATGATCTTGCTCAGCTTCTTTTTCTGCATTTAAATAATCTTGTTGACCTTGATTATTAAGATACTTTTGAAAATCTTGAGAAAATTCTTCAAGTGTTTTATCTTTTCTTGATGTTTCATAAAGAAGTTTTATAATTTCATCTATATTTTCAATATTTAATTGACGTTTAAAAAATAGTTCAAATGTACGAGAAGCAAATTGATGAAAAAACTGATGTTTATCGGCATATAAACCAGCAATTAATGAAAGACGCGAATCAAATGAATGTTCTGGTTCACGAATAATAAGACCACGTTCATTAGCAAAACGTTGACGATCCAAGTATAAATATTGAACTTTATTCCAGTTAAGTCGATTTCGTTCTATAAGATTTCCACCAAAACATTGTTGAGTATGAAATGACCGTGGAATAAAACGTAACTGAATTGGATAGTCTTTTTCTAATTGTAATGCTGGTTCTAGTGCTAAATAACTAAATGGCGATTTAAAATCATAATAAAATTTAATTGTTTCACGTGTTCGTCCAGTTGAATAGGAACGAATAAATCTGATAGGAAACATTTCTGAAGAAGAGAAGAATCAAATGATTTTCTCAAGCCTATCATTCTGTTGCTTTGATTTTTAAAATATAAATACTCATTGTTTAAATGCACAAGAATAAGAAATAAATTAGAAATACAATCAGCATGTAAAACGAAAAAAAAAGAAATTTCGAAAACGATGATCTTATGCAGAGATGTTAGGCCATCTTTTTTCTCAGCTTCTTTGTTAGGCCTTTTGAAGAACAGAACATTTTCGAGCTAAATAAAAAGAATTATTCAATAAATAAAGATGTTTGTAGTCATTCTTTCAAACTCGTGATGAAAAAATATCAACTTTTTAATAGATCATTGTCCACATGCCCAATGTTCAATACTTCAATTCTGAGTTTTAGCTAATAACAGCTCTGCAGTAAAATTTCTCTAATACAATTACTAGAATTTATCATTAAGATCGAAACGTGAGGGACGTCAGAGGAAATAAAAAGAATACAGAGATGATTATTGCTTACTGTCTTATATCGTATCATGAGTGGTCTTTGTCCATTTGTTAATGATTTAGCGGGAATGGTAGAGCATGACTTTCACCGAGTAGATTTTTACTGTTGTTGTTATTGTGGTTTTATTTCACTGACTTTTATTAATTTTAATATTACTCATTGATTTTATCTAAAGTCAGCACGACACATTGAATCAGTCCAACTTTGTGACATTGTACTTTAAATCAAGGCTATAATTGAACAACATTTAAAGGTCAATGAATGATTATTATCACACCTGATCATAGTCATCAAGATTTTGATACTTCTACACTTTACGATCGTAATGTATCTCTTTTCAATCACCTGTTTTGCTCTCACTCACCTACTTTCGTGCATGCTCTGCGACCAATCAAACGCTTGAGATTTGAAAGTGGTGTCAAAGCACGAAAAATTAAATGGATTTAATTTAATTTTAATAAAAATATATTTAGTAAGAAGTTTTTGTTTTTAGAAGAATATCTTATGTTTCTTTGTTGACATACACAACTGGTGGCGTCACCAACACTGACTTACACTTACTCGGTTCTACTGGATAGTCGACAAAAGGTAATCGCTTATCAGTGTCAAAAAAACTGTACTGAGTTGAAAGAAAAATCAAGGGAGAAACAGAGGACTTAATTTAGTTCAAATTAAACTACTTTAATCCGACGATAAATTGTCATTATATCATATTGAGAATTTCACAACAAGCAAAGTATCATGCAGTTCCGGGATAAGAAAACGTTTTTGTCATTCGATTTGGTATAAAGAGCAAGACTTGGTTAAACTACATTATAAGAGAAGGTGTCAGGTTATGTTGTCACAATAGCATAGATAGTTTATCATAATACACACTAGTTTTTTCTACGATAGTGCAATATTTGAACGTATCTGGTAACCGAGAATCACTTCTAATGATATGCTAAAACCTTTCGTCGAAAATTGGCATCGTGTTCCATGAAACATTCGTCACACGCACAAATCGCAGATGTCGCACATTGTAGATCATCTTGGAAACATTGACTTTCATTTTTACAGGGATTCAATCCGTAACAATCATACGCGTGATATTATATCCAAATTCAAAACAATTAGCATGCCGAGAAAGATCCCATTGGTATAGATGAACATCATCATAGAAACACATCAATTCACTGCGATGTTGACAAGGAACATGATAATGTTTAATGCGTCGTAACAAATGTCGATTAATAATTGCAACATCAAACAATTCTTGAATAGATGCGCATCGTTGTGAAGGAATAATTTGTACAGAGATATTGTCTGAGATAATGAGGAATTCTTGAAGAATTATCAAATAATAATTATTCTGAACTTGTGCGGAAGCTATATTGAAAACAATCCACGTATAGGTAGTCAGCGAATTTCGATCAAGTGGAATCCTGTTCACTATCGTCATGTGAACATGTGGTAAGTGGTCTACTGCTGCAATGAAATGGATAAACAGTGATTCAGGAATAGCAAAATTATGTATAAACGATAAATCAATACGAGTTTCATGAAATTCACATATAGTTCCAGCATAACCTTGAGGACAAATACAGGTGTAGCCTTTACCGTCTACTGTTCCTTGATGTACGTCATCTGGCACACATCGGCCTTTATTTAAGCATAAATTTGTCACGCATGCAAGCTTACTTAGATAACATTGAGACCCGAATTTACCGACAGGACATATGCAGATTGACTGATTGATACAAAGTGAATTCAACGCACACCCACACCGATGCGGAATTGTACATTGGCTACCTGACCAGTCGTAATCACATCGACAGAAGAACAAATTTTCCGTGTTAGTATACTTGATACAATGATCATGAATACATGGGAATTGACAATATTGTATTGGTTCAACAGATAAAATCGAAATAGCGAATTCAATTGCTAGGGGACATACGGGTAAAAATGGAAATAAAATTGGACGAATCCAACTTGTTCCATACTTTAATGTCAGTTTGTCAAATACATCGACGTGCACAGAATAGTATTTGTACTCTCTTTCGGCCTGATAGAATAAAGCCCAGGTCAATGATTCCGGAGGACGGATACTGTAGGAACCGGCCGGAAAGATGCGGAAAAATCACCGTATCTGGCCGGAAAGCACTGGAAACTGGAAGCAGTATTCCAGTTGGAAGTTACCGGATTTTTTTCCTGTGGATTCCGGTCAGTTTCCTGTGTTTTCCGGTCAGTTTTCTGTGTTTTACATCTGGAAGTTGATCGGAATCTACAGGAAGAAAATCCGGTAACTTCCAACTGGAATACTGCTTCCAGTTTCCAGCGCTTTCCTGTGCTTTCCGGCCGTTTCCCGCCGTACGTCCACGACCTGGGAAACGCTCTTTTTTTAGTATAATTTTCGTGTTTTTTAAACAGATCCATTCGATAATTATTGATTCTTTTGTATTCTTAGAATTTTTTTGAAAGGGACTCTATTTTATTTACAATTTCTTTTCACATTATCAAACGGACTAAATGAAAATAACTGACTATTTTAAGTAAAGATATTCAAACAAAGTAAAGTAGTCTTTATAAATAGTTGTGTGTTTTTTAAAAGCTTTTATTGTTGTCTATCATATGCAGTTACGTAAATGGTTTTGTTCAAGCGTAACGCTGTGACCTTTTTTGACACACTTTGTTTTTCATTATCTTGGAAATTGTGTGAGTTAGAAAGTTCGTTCAAACGTGATTTGATGCAACCTGTCATGATATGTTTATGCCATAAAATGACCATTTTTGGGTTAAGTCTCTTGGTTATAGAGAGGAGTTTTGGTTGCTTGACTGTGACATAGAAAGACCCTTTTCTTCAGGGCCACTAATAAGCTGCGGTTTCTTCTGCAACTATTTCTCCAAATGAAAAAATTCTCGAGTTAGTTTCGTAGTGCTTTTGACCAGGCTTTAAAACACTAAAATCGTTTTCTCCAAGCTATTTTTACTTAGATAAAAAGTGCAAGAAAACAACGTGACATTTTTAGTAACGCTGAGGTAAAATTTTTCTCCACGAATTTTGAAGCACTTAACATGATCAAAGTTATTTGATTTTTATTAGTAATAGTCTTTTCTTTGTAACTAATCGTTATACACAAAAACGAAATTGATACATCTATATGGAAGCTCATAAACGGTAAATTGAGTTAGAAAGTGTATAAGAGTTGACATTGTCCTTAGCTACGAAATTCAAAATAAAATAGCCCAGCTTGTAGAGACTGAAATTCTACAGCTGACGATCTGTCATTGGTATTTTTTGAAAACATTTCTTGGTTAAAAAACTCAAATGCGATTTTTGAAAATTTTCATATTCGGTGTGAGTGAGTATAAGTTGAAGTGAATATAAACACAATACAAACCGTTACCCACACCCTGATTTATTTTTTATTAGTTTATTAATATGTAAATAAACATAATTCGATTGAATTTAATTGTGGCTGACTCATTTAATTTAATTTAAGAAAGAATTAAAATGAAATATTGACAAAAATTTCGTGCATATGTGAAGTTGATGCAGGAAAAGTTTAAAAGAACGTTTAATTCGAATCTAAACAACGAATTTTCAATATCCTTTTTTTCTGATTTTTTACACCTTTTCCTGTATTTTTAAAAAGTTTGATCCTGTACTAATTCCTACATTTTCAAAAACTTGCAATCCGAGACCAGCGAAAGTCCTAAGTAGTAGTGGGTGTCATTTCTCATGACATACCGTGTGATGCTGAAAGTCCTAAATAGTTGTCATTGTCATTTCTCTTTTGATAAGATTTGATTAGGTTGGCAATGCAAGTTTCAGTTAAGTTTTCGTTTGACTTATATGTGCTACGTATTTTTTTCTCGTGTTTAAAATGTGTTGGTGTTGATATTCAGCAATCTATACTGAATAACTGTAGATAAGTATTGCAATAAATTTTATTTCATTTTGTTTTCACCTTAGCTGGTTCAATCGGTATGATAGAAATATGGATCGTTTTATTATATTTTGTTTAAAATAATTAAGTTAAATATTTGTTTTTCTTTTCTCCTCTCCTTTAGGTTGCATCTGCCTGTATCTGTGAAAAAGAGGCAGTGTGGAATAATGATCATTAAATATTGGATGTATCATTTTCATTTCGGTGACGGAAGTTACAATGCCACAAATTAAAATTATGCTTTTCTTGTTTGGCTTGTGCAATAAGGAATTAAAAGATAATCATTCTTTTTATGAATGTTTGTATGTGCAAATAGTAAATATGTTCCCGATTTTCTTCTTTCATTTTTTTCTAGATGTTATTTATGTGTGTATTATTTTTGAACGGTTAAGAAATGGTTACGAAGCAAACTTTAGAAATGGGTATACGATTATTTTGTTGTGAAACTTGATTATTGAGTGTCTTTGATTCAATTGAACGTAAGTTTATGTAATGTTTCGCATAAACGGTATACTTTTCGTTTCGTTTCGTTTCATGGGCGTACGTTTGAATAGTACAAGGTAGCATTATTTTGTTATTCATTTATCTAA